GTTCCCAGGATCACTGAGGGTGAGAGAAGAGACCTGATTTCTCAGGGCTAGTTAAGTCTTTTCCAAAAAACCAAATCCTCTCCATTCATATCTGATTCCACACCCAATTGTTGGCTTCTAAACACCCCCACACCTTACCGGTTTTCCCTTGACACCAGTACCTTCCACCTAATTCAGGAAAACCCCGCAATTAACCAGTCTTGCCTAGCCAGGTTTACAACCTTTTACCACCTTGTCCCTAGGGCACTCATTTTCCTTATGGCACAACTGAAAAGTTAAACTGTACCCGATAACCTGCTTCACCCTTTTCCACAGCTCTCCTACAGCACAGGGCTGTTCTGGATGTGCTGGCCAAACGCCTATATATGCCTGCCTAGTAACTGCACAGGGACTTGTACCTTGGCCTGCTCTTGCCTACCATTTTTCTTGCCCCTCCAGATTACCTACTGCCCATGCTGGCCTCTACTCCAATAAAAGCAAAAACAGCTCTCTGATTCACCCCCTTACGAACAACTCTAGGCATCCTCTCCAGGCTTGCAACTGGTGGTAGGCCTAGAAATCTTCACATCAATGAATCTCTGTCTCTCCAGCTCTGAGAACACCTTGAGAAAATTTTGATCAGCTTGACACCCACCCTTCAAGGTCGACTTGATTCTTTGGCCACTGAGGGGCTCCAAAACTACAGAGGGCTAGACCTCCTGCCTACAGTCCACAGAGAAACATGAATTCTCCTACAGGAACAATGCTGTTTCTACACCAACAAATCAAAACTAGTTTACAACAGGGCCCAAAGATAGCAAGTTTCACTCCAGACAAGTCCTCCGTTCCCTCCCATCCTGGCCTCTCCCCTTTCTTGCCCCCTTCCTCCTTATTGTTCAGGTACTTATTTTTTTATCTTATCTTTTAAACTTTTACAGAGATTCTACCTGGACAACTTACTGCTATCATAGTCTGCCACACTTGACAAGATAAAGTCAAAGCTCCTCTCAGATATATATATATGATATCATATATATATATGCACCATTTCTTTGGATGTAACTACTTCCTGATTGGGAGGATTATTATTTTGGGATTCTTAGGTCTGAAGTGACTCTGATGTGGAAAAAAGGGAGATTCCCATCTCTCCTTAAAACCAAGACCCTAAACTGGGCTCAAAGTTCCAGGAAGTCAGCCATTTGTATAATTCCCAAAGGTGGAAAAAGGAAAGCAGCTGACTTTAACCCCAGTGGTTGCTAAAACAGACAACAGACCTATCCCCCCTCCTGTAATTAAAAACAAACAAACAAACTTACGTAGAAAAAAATAAAACAGCTTATTTCTGTTCCTAATTACTCCCTGCCCTTCCCTCACCCTGAAAAGCCCCACTTAGATTGTTTGCTGTTGTGCACTCACACTAGTCACGGTGCTGCTGGTCTTAGTATGCCTCTTCAGGCTAAATAAGCTCTGTTCTTGCTGGTGAAGTTAGTCTAAATTTTCATTCTCTGTTTCCTTCTTCAAACTCAGTTCTTGCAGGGACAACCTGGCAGGGCACGGACATGAGGAAACACTAGGAAAGTTAAAGGTCCTTTAAAGAAACCTTTGAGGTTTGCCACGTCCAATAGAGGCTCATTTCAGCCTCCCAGCAGAGAAGGGAGCAGATTGGTTCTAGAGGGGCCCTATGTAAGATTCTAGCCCAGCCAAACAGACTGGCAACACTGAACCTGCGTGCTCTCTCCTTACCAGGACCAAGGGTGTTGCAGAGGCTTTGCAACTACTCTCAGGCTCAATACCTGAGAGAAGGTCAACAGCAACTCTGCCTGCAGCTCCAGCTCCTTAACATCAAGGCCCACACTGGCTCAGTCCCCTGCCGCAGCTGCTTATATTATGTCTGGAAAAGTACAAGGATATAGCTCTTGTGTCGTGCCGATGTCTGGAAGAAGTCAGAAGCCAGACAATGCTCAGAATACAACAGGCCATCTTGTATGTGATCTTGTGTTTATCCATAGAATTAACAGTAACATCAGCCACAGACATCTTTCTGGTTTGGCCTCATCTCAACCAGCTACTATGGATTTATCAAGAAGTGCTTTTAGACTTCTGCATAAACAACTGTAGACTTTAAGATACAAAGAATTGCTTTTTAAGCCTTATATAAGTTAATTCCTTTGATGTTTACATTTTACTGGAACTGACCAGATTGACTAGAATTATTTAAGAAAAACAAATCTCTAAGTGGGCTTTGGATTCAGTAACTACAAGTTTCTGTAAATACTTCAATTTTTTAAAAAATATATTTATTTATTATTTATATAGTGTTCTGCCATACACACCAGAAGAGGGCACCATATCTCACTATAGATGGTTATGAGCCACCATGTAGTTGCTGGGGATTGAACTCAGGAGGACCAGTGTTAAGAACAACCAGTGTTCTTAACCTCTGAGCTATCTCTCCAGCCCAATATTTCAATTTTTAAGACAGGAAAAGTTGTAGTGATAGGCTTCAACCTACTTGGAAATTATTCAGATTTAAAAAAAATAGGTGTATGAGTATTTTGTCGGCATGTATGTATCACATGCATGCCTGGCACCTAGAGAAGCCAGAAGAGGGCAAGTGGATGTCCTGGAACTGGAGTTAGAGACTGCTGTTAACCATATGTGAGAGCTAGGAATTGAACCCAGATCCTCTGGGAGAGCAGCCAGTATGCTCTTAACTAGGGAGCCATCTCTCCAGCCCCATGGATAGTGACATTTTCATAAGTAGACATTATTTAATTTTAAGGTTTCAAGTTATCAAAAAGATTTTTGAAACTAGTTTTTAAAGAGACACGGCTTATAAAACATTATTATTCTCAATTCCCAGTCTGCCATTTAAAATTAATGTTGTATTCAGCCTTTGTCAGAGATGCTTATTACAGTAGTGGGCAGTAAATGCGGAAATACACAATTGGCCAAAGTGTCAAGGCTAAGTGATGGAGTTCTCCACCCTACATGGACATCTGCACCACTGGAAAGACTCAGGGTGCAGAAGAGGGTGAGGAAAGTCTGTAAGGACTAGTGGATAAAGGAGTGTGCAGAAAAAAAAAGTCAAAAGTCCTCTGGACACGACAAAGCTGCTGCACCCATGAGCTCACTGACGCTGTGGTTTTCTGCATCACACCTCTCTATGGCTACACCTGTCATTCTACCATGATAGTAGAGGGCTCCACCTTTCCTTGGGGTAATACTGGTAGTTAATGGTTGCTGGAGATGGGGATCTCATTTTCCTCAGAAGTGTAGCCTCTGATATGGTCCAGAATAACTTTTATTATGTTGAGATATGTTCCTTCTATTCCCACTTTCTTCAGAAATTTTATCCTGAAGGTCTTTTGGATTTTGTTAAAAATCCTTTCTGTACCTATTGAGATGATCTTGTGAATTTTGTTTTGAATCCACTTATGTGATGTTTTACATTATTGCATGTTTATTTATGCATGTTGAACCATTCCTGTATCTCTGGAATGAAGCCAACCTGATCATGGTGAGTGATCTTTTTGATGTGTTCTTGAATTTGGGCTGCAAGTTTGCAGTGTTTTGTTGCTGATGTTGTTTGAGAAAATAATCTCCTGATTGAGAAGATAACAAACAGCTTAATGAAATAAGGAAGTTAATGCAAGCCATGAAAGGAGAATTAAAAAAAAGAGACAGAAATGTTAAAGAAAAAATAATCTGAACTGTTGGAAATTAAAAACATACGAATTCACTTCAGAAGGTCTGTGCAAAGTCTCACCAACAGAATGGATCAAATAGAAGACAATCTGAGCTTGAAGATAAGGTCTAGGAACTGGAATAACCAAACAAGGACAAAGATAAAATTAGAAGATATCAGTGAGAATTCCAAGACCTAAGTGACACTATGAAAAGACCAAACCTATGGGCAATAGGCCTAGAAAGGGAGTCTAGTTCTAAAGGCATAGAAAACATTAAAAAAAAAAAAAAAGACAATTTTCTAAGCTTAGAAAAAGAGATGGTTATCCAGACTGTACTGGTTAGTAGGCAAGTCTGTGGAACATTTAAAAAAAAAATGTTCTTTTTAAAAATTATTTTTATGTCATGTGTATCATTGCATTGGTATTTTGCCTGCATGTATTTCTGGGTGAGGCTACCAGATCTCCTGGAACTGGAACTACACACAATTTTGAGTTGTCATGTGGATGCTGGGAATTGAACCCAGGACCTCTAGAAGAGCAGCCAGTGTTCTTAAGCGCTGAGCCATCTCTCCAGCCGCTGGGACGTTTTCTTGACCAATGAATGACATTGGAGGGCTCAGCCCACTGTGGGTGGGCAACTCCTGTCCAGGTATTACTGGGCTGTATAAAAAGCAAGACGAGTGAGCTATGGAGAGCAAGGTAGCAAGCAGCACCTTCCATGGTCTCTGCTTCAGCTCCTGCCCCCAGGTTCCCGTCAGTCCCAGACCAGACTGTCCTCAGACCGTGACGTGGAAGTGCGAGATAAAATAAGCCCTTTTCTCCCAAGTTGCTTTGGTCAGTGTTTTATTCCAGAAATAAAAAGCAAACAGACACCAAAAGATGTTCCAAATAAATGGACCTAAGACAGAGGCAAGTGCTAGTGTTCTGATATCTGACAAAACAGGCTTCAAACTAAAACTAGTGATAAAAGATAAAGACAGTCATTTCATGCTGCTTAAAAGACCACCAGGAGGATATGATGACTCTTAACACATATATACCCAGTTCATAAAACAATACTGCATATATCATATGCACGCCTATGTTGGGCTGTAGCTCAGCAAGCACCCCCTAATAACCATAACACAGGTAAGTAAAAATAAAATAGAACAACAAATAAAAGGTAAGTACTTGCCTGGCTGTGGTGGCATATGCCTTTAATCCCAGAACCTGGAAGGCAGAGGCAGGCAACTGTCTATGAGTTTGAGGTCAGCCTTATCTACACATCCAGTTCCAGGATAGTCAGTGCTACATAAAAACCCTGTTTTTTAGGAAAAAAAAAAAAAAAAGTACTTTGCTATAAAAATTTAGTTTATTTTCACATAAGAACAAATTATATTCCAAATAATCACATAATTTCAAGAAAGACTTTTCTTCAAATGTTTTATAAAAGTAACCTAATGCCTGAAGTTCCGGAAGTGTCACCTTGCACAGTCATTAGCACTACTTTAAACGGAAACACTCTAAAACATCCTACTCTCTACGGGCCTCAATTACATAGCTGAGAAATCTTTCTAGATATTTTTCATGATAAATGATGCTGTTGATAACTTTATAGAATCTTCCTTTGGTGATTTTTATACTTTGACAAATAATGAACACATAGGCAGACACAGACACATACATACACACACTTTTCTAATGGCTGCTACTGGAAACCAGGGAGTTATTTTTTGTTAAACCCAGGTTGAACAGAGTTGAATTTAGGTTAATACAGAGAAAAGCGTGCTCTGGATGTGTTGTCCTTTGTATTTCCTGAAGCATCAGGTGAATGGTGAAAACTTCAAAGAGCTTCTTGTTACTCCTGTAAAAGAATAGGTATATTTAATTACTTATAAACTTGAAGGAACTTATGCAAACGAGAGGAAACAGCACTTATTTTTTTAAAACAACAGACAAAATAGATGACTACAGGATTAAAATGCTAAGAAAACTAGGTTTTATGAGCTAAGTCTTAAGTGGAAAAACATCAAAGGCAAAAAAAGAAAATAGAACACAGGGAACTTCCCAGAAAATCATACTCCAACCAAGGACTATTCGTGGAGATGACCTGGAACCCCTGCACAGGTGTAGCCCATGGCAGTTCAGTGTCCAAGTGGTTTACATAGTAATGGGAAGAGGGACTGCCTCTGACATAATCTGATTAGCCTGCTCGTTGATCACTTCCCCCTGAGGGGGGAGCAGCCTTACCAGGCCACAGTAGAGGACAATGCAGCCACCTTTGATGAGAACTGATAAACTAAGATCAGAAAGAAGAGGAGAACCTCCCCTATCAGTGGACTTGGGGAGGGGCATGCATGCAGAAAGGGGAGGGAGGGTGGGATCGGCAGGGGAGGAGGGAGGGGCTTATGGGGGGATACAAAATGAATAAAGTGTAATTAATAAAAAATTAAAAAAAAAGAAAATAGTTTATATTCTGAGAACTGAACCCTATTTACTAACAGAGAATAACTACTGGGAACAAGTGATTTCCCCTTCCAACAGTTAGACAGATCCAAGCAGCTATCTATAGGCTCCAAAGAGGCAATACACTACTTTTCAATCACTCCTCTAATAGACATTCAAGCTCGATGCAGCGGCACACACCTTTAATCCCAGCACTCTGAGGCAGAGGCGGGTAGAGTCGAGTTCCAGGACAGCCTGTTCTACACAGCAAGGTCCAGGATATCCATGGCTACATGGAGAGACCCTGTCTCACAAAACAAAAGGAAGAGGAGAGAGAAGAATGAAAAACAAAGAAGACTGAAGAAGATGAGGAGAAAGAAGAGGAAGAGAAGAAAAGGCATTCGGTAATTTCATTTTAATTGGAATACTATCTTAAATGTAAAACAGAACTCAACCATATTTTATTTTCTTATCTGGTTACATTTGCTTCTTCAGAGAAATTATCAAATAACGCAGTATTAAAGAAGGTAGAGACTGGTGTTTTCCCTAGAGCTTGTTGGTCATGCAGCCTAGCCAATCAGTGAGCTCCAGGTTCAATGAGAGACCCTATCACAAAAAAGAAGACACTTGACATCAACCTTGGGCTTACACACACACACACACACACACACACACACACACACACACACACACA